ACTTCTCTGTGGATACATGATCACTAGACAAAGATTTCAGGGTGGGAAAGTGCGCCAAATTATTTTCTTGAAGATGCATTTCCCAAAGTTGAAGCTTCGTCTCAAAGGCACAAATGCTGTCATATAACTCTGTCACAATGTTGTTGCGACCCTGCAACTTTGTGTTGAGAGAGTTCAGGTGTTCTGTGACATCCACCATAAAAGCAAGATCCTGAAGCCATTCATTATCTTGTAATTCAGGGACAGCCTTCCCTTTCTGTTCCATAAACATCTGTATTTCACTTCGTAGCTCATAGAAGTGTTTCAATACAGCTCCACGACTTAACCATCGCACTTCAGTAGGATGTGGTACCCCACGTCTGGTCATGCTTTCCTCCAGAAGACTGTTAAATTGTCTAAGGTTGAGACCTCTGGCTCGAATAAAATTAACAGTTTTTATGACCACACTCATCACATTATCCATGTTCAATGTATTACTGCACAGAGTTTCCTGGTGCAAAATGTAATGAAAATTGCAGAACTGATGTTCTGGGTTTGCACCTGCCACTTTTTCATTGAGCTTTGCAGCAACTGCAGCTATTTTCCCCATCATCTGTGGTGCTCCACCTATGGCCAGACTCACTGCTTTTGCCCAGTCAACACCAATTTTATCCAGAGCTCCTACCAAGTTATTGAAGACGTCATCATCTGTGGTTGTATCTTTCATTGGAACGATTTCTACAAATTCTTCTGTAACATGCATCTCTTGATCAATTCCACGGATAAAGATTGCAAGCTGTGCTAAATCAGTAACATCTGTGTTTCCAGCTACTGCAACTGAAAACGCAATAAAGGACTTAGCTTTTTCTGTAAGTTGACTGTGAAGATTCTCAGACAAGTCACAAATTCTCTCTGCAACCGTATTTCTTGAGAGACTTATATTTGCAAAAGCCTGCTGCTGATCTGGACAGACTACTTCTGCAACCATGATCATACACTTTTTAATAAACTCCCCTTCTGAAAAGGGTTTTGATGACACAGCTAGTTCATGTGCAATCATATAGCTTGCCTTAACTGCAGCTTCACTCGCTTGCTGCGACTTTTTAAAAGGTGATTGGTGTTCTTCCGATGACTGCTCCGATTCAAAAACTTTTTCCAATGACTGCTCCAATTCAGAAACTTTTTCCTCTCGGAATTTTCCATTGTATTTATCATATTTCTTAGCATGACAACTTTCATAGTGCCGCCGAACGTTGTACTCTTTAGGAACAGATATTTGTTTTGAACAAATCAGGCAAATTGGTTTTCCATTCCGTTCCACAGAAAAATAAAGATTTTTCCATTTCTCTTGAACAACACGACACTCTGCATCTACTTTTCTCTTCTTGACTAGTGCCATGATTGCCAATGCCTTTCCAAACCACACACGTACAAAGGCAATGCTGCAAGGGAAAGGGTGATATTTTAAAAAGTGTACATACAAATTCATAGCAGTCTTATGCTTAAATTTAGCTATAATAGTGCCTTGTCCTTTAGCTTGAACTGCACGTGGCATATTACCATTTGGGGAAGGCTGCCCCCTCTTATGACTTGGAAGGGAAGTGGGGTTCCCTGCTGGCAAAGAGCAAGCACCCTGAGCCAACACAAAAGGCTGCCCCCTCCAAAATCTTGGAAGGAAGAAAACCCCAGCAGTGGGTGGCAGACCAGAGGGAAACCTCCTTCTGTGAGGTCTGATAGCCAACACCACCACCCCTCAGCTGGCCAGAGGTCACTCAGGATTGGCTGGGCGGGTTGGGAGACGTGAGTCTTCAGAAGCTGGTAAGCACCAAGTTAGTGAGTTCTCACCATTTAAGCCTCCCCCCGCCTTCCCTCCTTTGCGACAGTTGCTCACAGGCTGGATAAGAGCCCTGGACAATGCTCCCTATAAACTGTGGAGTCCTGTGAGCAAAAATTCTACTTTGTGAGCTACTGGCATTAAAGTTGTAGGTGAGCAATTTGGAAACTGCATAAATTAATTGCTCTGGAGCCATCCTTTCTGAGCGAAGACAACAATGTGTGAGCCCGAGGCTAAAAAACTGTGAGCTAGCTCACACTAATCCATCTTAGAGGGTTCCAGCCTGTGGGCCATATATTTGACATCTGTGGTCAAGGACCTTGTTTTTCCCTAACTCCTCCACTGGTGCAATGGGGAGAGGCTAATAGAGTTGAAAAAGCAACAAACCTTAGTCCTGCCTGTCACAGTGGGTAAAAGAAATAAGCAAGAGGCCTGGGACTCTACTTCCTGTCAATACCATTAGTGAGGCTCACAGATTTTGTACTGAACTTGGATGTCTGGTTTTCTCACTCTCATGACACTTGTTGGCATAAACAAGAAATGGAATTGCACAGAAATCAATGGTTGCTATCCTGGAAAAGTAACAAGTTGCAGTTATGGACTGCTTCTACCCCCATTACTCTTCACTGCCTCAAAAGTATTAAATGAACTGGGCTGTCTCAGAATTGCCTGAATTCCAAGCAGGGAGTATAGATGCAGAGATGACTTGGTTAGGTCTTCTTATTGTGTTAACCAACAAAAGCATGTACTCATAAATAATTCCTTGAATCCTAACCCTGCTCTTAAATTTTGAATCCTAATGCTTTCCTTAAGTTTGCACTGTGACTTGCCTCAGCAAATACAACTGCAAATTGCTGTCTTGCTAAAATCAGTCTCTCTGAACTATGGGAATTGAGGGTTAACCCTTGCTCCTCCCTAAAAAACAAGTGACTGTAATGCAAGACTATGAGGAACAGCACACAAGAGATCTGCCAGCTATCTTTCATACCTCCTAACTTACTCTACCTATTGTCCTGCAGCTGAACCGTTATGTGATCTCTTTTTCAACTAATGTTGTAGATTTTCTTCTATTAGTTTTTAATTTTGCACCTCTTTTGGAAGATGCAATGAAAACTTCCCAGGTAACGGATAACAGAGCCAGTACAGTGCACCTTGGATTAAGCCTTGGAAGACCCATGTACAAGACTCCATAATGCCGTGAAGCTCACTGTGTTTCTCAGGCTAATTCACAGATTTGCTACCAGAATATGGGATGAGGGCATGTACACCATCCTGAGAAAATACACAAGTTATTCATACTTAAATGCTTCTCACTTTTAGCTGTTTAGTGTCACTTTTTAAAATAACATCTCCTTTTGTGTACAATTAAGAACTGTATTTTTGCACTATTCATTTATTTAACCCTGGGATTTCTAAATTAAACTTGTGTTATCTGCACTGAATCTGTACTCCTAAAAGCCTGCTCAGGATCTAGTGTAAGAAGCTTCTTACAATGAAGCCAAACAGTATCACCATATAATTGGAGTATAGCATGCGAATATTTCCCCTTACCCAATGTGTTCAGTACACAGTCATGCTGTCCGTCCTAAATTTCTTTGCACTAAACATGACTTCCATCACAGCAATACTAGCAGTAATCAGGGTGCTTCTACAAACAGATCAGTGCTGTTTTTGAAGTCATGTAGGACATCACTTCCTGTACATTAAGTTTGTTGCCCCACTTGTTCTGGAAGGCCATTTCTCCTAACATTTCTGTCCTTGCAAGCGCACACACATTGACGACAGTACCCAGGAAGCAAAATAACTAACAGTCACTTACTGTTTACCAGAAGGATTTCTTAAACTTAAACCACCTCCAGATATTCACCCACTTGCTTCTTTAAAACCTGGGGGGAAACTGACAGACAGCAAGTTCCTCAGCATGTTTAATGTACAGAAAGAAAGCCCTTATAAGCCTTTCTAGGGAGAATGAGCATTTAGGATTGCACCCCACACATTTTTAATGCTGGGAAGCATTAATTTTAGGGTACAAAAGGGGAAAAAAACCCAGATTTAAGTTAAACGTGGCAAGAGAAACTATGATGCTATTTGCATATAAACTGTTTTCGTTCATCACTGAACTCATGCTTAGGATAACCCTTCATAGTTGCAGTATGAGGCTTCAATTCTACACAGGTTGCCTTCAGGGCCATGGAACTGCAAGGAAAGGCGGGCGGAGGCTTTGTCCGTATTGTAGCAAAACAGGTAGCTTAACTTATTCCGGCACAAGATTTCTCGAGTCACAGCTCATGCGGAGAAGATCTCTCTCCCCCCCCCCCCCCCCCCCCCCGGTTAAGTCGACCGCCTCCACATGCAGGGAAAGCGTCCTGCTAAGAGGCCGGGAGCAGAACGGCGGTCGGGTGGAGCAAGATGGGGAAGATTTGGGCAGGGATGCTACCTCAGCCAGAAGCGCCAGACACTGGCAGGATCTTCGGGAAATCTCGGCGAAGAAGAAGCCAGTCGCGATCGCCGTGTTTCGGACTGACGTGATCAAGGAGCAAACCCACGCACGACACGGACTGTATGGCGCCCTTCTCCTACGAAGAAGATGCGTGACTGCGCCTAGTCGAAGAAAGAGCGGAAGGGAGTCAGGGAAAGAAAGATGGCGTTGACTGAACCCACATCCCACCCCCGGTTCACACTGAAGCCTCACACTGCTGCCGACGGCGCCTCCTTCACTCCCCCCCGCCTCCCCGAAGCCCGGAAGGTTCCCGCCGAGCGCCACCGCGCCGCCAACGGCCCCCGCGAGCCGTTTCCTCTCGGGGGGTGGGTGGGCGGGGCCACAGCGGCAACGGCCGTCCGGCGCGAGGAAACAGTTGAGTCGGGAGCGAACGACAAAAGCTGCCTGGGAGCAGCGAAGGGGGCGTGTCCAAAAGGGCCTGATTTTAATGGGAGAAGGGGGGGGGGGGAGTCAAAAAAAAGGGCAGCGCGAAAGCCAGCCCGGCGGCCCGGCCATTGGTCCAAGCCACGAAGAGCGATTGGGGCAGGCGGCTTTCGCCCGAGCACGGCGCGGCGATTGGCTGGCGTCGGCGAGGGGGGGTGTGGCCCGCAGGCCACGGCGGCCTTCGCGGGTCTGGATGGCGGGTGAGGGCGGACTGGGGTGTCTGTCTCTCTCGGCGGTAGCGGCGGAAGTCTCGCGAGGCGGGATTTGGCGGCAGCGGCGGTGGTGGCTGCTGCTGCTGCCTGCTTGCCTCCCACCCTCCCTCCCCACGAGGCGCTGGTGTTTGTGTGGAAGGGGGAGGCGGCGTTGGCGGCGTAGAAGGGGAAGGCAGGGGAGCGAGCGCAGCCCCGCGGGCGTCGGGCAGAGGCGCGGAGCCGCCGAGGCGGAGGAGGCCCACAGCTGCCGGGGGCTGCCCCTCCACCCACCGCCATGGCCTCGGGAGATACCCTCTACATCGCCACGGACGGCTCGGAGATGCCGGCCGAGATCGTGGAGCTGCACGAGATCGAGGTGGAGACCATCCCGGTGGAGACCATCGAGACCACCGTGGTGGGCGGCGAGGAGGACGACGAGGAGGAGGAGGAGGACGACGACGACGACGAGTGCTGCGAGGACTGCGGCCCTCACCACCCGCCCCACCGCCGCCGCCACCACCACCATCACCACCACCACCACCACCCGCCCATGATCGCCCTCCAGCCGCTCGTCACCGACGGCGACCCCAGCGGCGGCGGGCCCGGCGGCGGCGGCCAGCCCCACCCGCCCCACCCCCCG